CGGAGGAGCAGACAACCTGAGCTGAAAGGAAATGGCAAAGAAGAGAGTGCTCCAGGCAGAGACCAGCAAGGACAAAGGTGGGGACTGGCTGAGTGCCTTCCAGGTCCTGGGAACAGCCGCCGAGCATGCGTGATAGTCTGGGAGGGAGGGGGCAGGCACTGGGAGGCCCAGGGGGCTTTGCCAAGGAGCTAAGAGGGACCTCATTCTGGAGGGTGCAGTCCTCAAAGAAGCGAGTGGCCAGAGACAGAAAGGCATGATTGTCAGTCTCCTGGTGGGGAATGGGTGGGTTTCAATTTCCAACATGGAGAATGCATTTGGTTTGAAAAAGCAAATTCAGAATTAAAATTTTATATTTGATAAGTATAAAGAGGAGAGCTGTCACTTTTGTAATACAATCTAAATTTTGGCTAGAAGCGAGAAATTAGGGAAAAAAAAGAAAGGTGCAAGAATGCTGCCCGGATGGCGGGGAGCCATGGATGGGCTGGGGGTGGGGAGGGGGATGCAGGGCAGTGGGTCAGATTTGCATTTTTAGAACAGTGACTCTCGCTACTGATTGGATGGGGTGTATGAGAAAGGAAAGACTAGGCTGAGATCATGAATGCAATTCTTTGCAGCCAAAGATGGAGAAGCTCTATCCAGTCCGCAAAAACAAAACCAAAGCCGACTGTGACTCAGATCATGAACTCCTTATTGCCAAATTCAGACATAAATTGAAGAAAGTAGGGAAAACCACTAGACCATTCAGGTATGACCTAAATCAAATCCCTTACGATTATACAGTGGAAGTGACAAATAGATTCAAGGGATTAAATCTGATAGACAGAGAGCCTGAAGAACTATGGATGGAGGTTCATGACATTGTACAGGAGGCAGTACCTGTACTACCATCCCCAAGAAAAAGAAATGAAAAAAGGCAAATGGTTGCCTGAGGAGGCCTTACAAATAGCTGAGAAAAGGAGAGAAGCGAAAGGCAAAGGAGGAAAGGAAAGATATACTCATTTGAATGCAGAGTTCCAAAGAATAGCAAGGAGAGATAAGAAAGCCTTCCTCAGTCATCAATGCAAAGAAATAGAGGAAAACAATAGAATGGGAAAGACTAGA